TTAGACCATTTCAGAGCATTCAGATAGATTATACAGAATTCCCTAAGGTACAAAGGTTGAAATATTTATTAGTAATAGTGGATCATCTCATGCATTGGGTAGAGGCTTTTCCTACTACCACAGCCACTACTTTCAATGTATCCAAAATCTTGCTAGAGCAAATTATCTCTTGTTATGGGATAGTAGAGGGGATAGATTCTGATAGGGGAACCCACTTCACCTCAAAGATATTGCAGATGATATGCACAGCCTTGGGGATACGCCACACCCCCTGGCATCCTCAAATCTCTGGCAGGGTCGAGAGAATGAATGCAAGCTGATGGTAGAAACCAAGCTACCATGGACCAAATGCTTGCCTCCAGCATTGTTAAGGATTTAGGAATGTCTCTGTGTGTGGGAGAATTTTTAGAGATCGATGGTCACCCTGTGAGGTCCCCAAGCACTGAGGACTTGTTGACAACAGTGTAAGCTTCAAGGAATGTTGAAGGTCAAATTGTGTTTTGTGAACGGCTGAGTTATGTTGAGGGAGGAAAGAACTGTTGCTGAATGTACCAATAAGCAGGATTTTTGAGTAAAACATAGAAGTAGACAACTATGCGAGTGAACAGCTGGGGCTAGCCAGTCATATAGTAGAAATGCTCTCTTGAACTATGCATGTAACCACTTATTGCTTGAGTGTTGTGTGGCGCGGGAGAAAATTGTCTATATTAGCTGAGCTATCTGTGCAATAAAGTGGCATTTACCCTGATCATATTGGTCGTGGTGTATTTGTCCGAGCTTCCGCATCAACATCTGTGTGAAGTGTTGTTTGGTCTCCCATATTTGGGAAGACAGGAAGGTGTACCAATCCCCGAGATTAGCAATTTGTATCTTAAAAATTATTTGCGGGGGATAACCCAATCTCTTACAGACTTAAGAAGGCATGGATTACTCTCTAAAACAGCCCCCTGGACTTTAGTGTGCATCAGATACAGCCTGGAGACTGGGTGCTCGTAAAATCCGGGGGAGAGGATACCCTAACCCCCGCATGGGAAGGACCTTTTCTGGTACTTCTGACAATGGAAGCCGCCATAAGAACTGAAGAAAAAGGGTGGGCACATGTTAAAAGGGCCAGCAGCTCCACCTCCTGGAAAGTGGAGCGTAGCCCAGGGAAGTAACCCCTTAAAGGAAACCTTTAAAAGGTAACACATCATTCTGAGAGAAATTTGTAATCAGTGTTGTAAAAGTGCAAGGCGAGAAGTCCAGGATTGCGTATGCGTAAATGGTAAGAGATTCTAGTTTTAGGGAGTCTGGTTTTAGGGAATTTCACGGCACCATATCGCTATGTAATCAATGATCTCACATAGAAGGGGATGATCTCACATAGAACTCAAAGAAGGGGGGAGGATGAGTGGCCCCCTCAGCGTATTATAGAAACTTATGGGCTGGCACCATGGGCACAAGATGGTAGCTGGAGATATCGAACACCTGGACAGCAAGCTGTAAGAGACATAGAAAATTAGCACATGTCCCAGTAACAAAAGTGGAAGCGTATGATAAACGCCAGCTGGTGGGATATGTGCATTTGCTGGGTTATGTGCATTTGTTGGGGTTTAATACCATGTTTTATAAGGTTAATCTCTCATGTAGTAGAAGGAATGCAAGTAACCAGCCTAGCAGTGAATCCACAGATGGTGTCCTTGGGCCAGAATATAGCAGCTCCGAAGATCAAGGTGTTGAAGAAGAGAGATCAAAAGAAAGAAGAACAAGATGGAAAGATGCAACTAATACTGTGTATGGGCTTCAGCAAAAATGTGGTAAGGAAAAAGGGGTGGATTGTGAGAGATGAACTCGGGGATTGTTTTGCTTCAGCCGTTTTGTATGTCGAGGATGCGAGCAGGGCTATGTAACTTAGAAAAACAACTCCTTCAAAGGAGAAAAATGTGAATCGAGTTTGCGATAGGCTAAGCGGTCATGAAAGAATGTGCGCCCTACAGTAGCAAACCAATGGGAAAGGGACAGGATCTTGGGCAATCGGGGGAGGGCATAAATACCTGAAGTTTTGTAGCTAATTGTGCTCTTTTTGAGACGCACCTGACTCAGCCGACTCGTTTATTTTTGTTTTGAATAAATTTTTATCTTTGCTTCGAAGACTTTGTCCTCTTTACATTTTTATCCGTGGGCGAGTGTTTCTCACAGGAAGGTGGTGGCTGGGGACACGGGGGACATGGGGAAATGGGGAGGGAGTAGACGGGGACATGGGGGGAGTGGGGACATGGGGGAGACCAGGGACATGGGGAGAAAGGGAAGGGGGTGGCCGGCGACATGGTGGCGCTCAGGTACATGGTTGGGGGACGGGGGTCCCCGGGGGGGACGGAGGGTCCCGCTGGGGCGAGGGGGGTCCCGTCAGGCGCCCGG